GAGGCGTGTCGAGACATATGGAGACGTGTGAGCACATGTGGAGACGAATGGAAGTCATGTGGAGACGTGTTGCGACATGTGGAAGACACGTGGGGACGTTTGGAGATGTGTGGATGATCTGTGGAGACATGTGGAGGACATACGGAGTCGTTGAAGACATGTGGAGACGTGTGGATGATATTTGGTGACGTGTTGAAGACATGTGGAGACCCGTGGAGGACATGTTTAGATAGTCGGAGACATGTGGAAACGTCTGGAGACATGTGGAGGACATGTGGAGACGTGTGGAGGACATGTTGTGACGTGCGGAGACGTGTGGTGGACCTGTTGAGACGTGTGGAGAAGTGTAGAAGACACGTGGAGACATTTGGACATGTCCGGAGGACATGTGGAGGCGTGTCGAGACAAGTGGAGACGTGTGGGCAGATGTGGAGACGAATGGAAGTCATGCGGAGACGTGTTGAGGACACGTGGGGAGGTGTGGAGGACATATGGACACGTGTGGAGGACATGTTTAGATATTCGGAGACATGTGGAGGACAGTGTACACGCGTGGAGACATGCGGATGATACGTGGAGACGTGTTGAAGACATGTGGAGACCTGTGGAGGACATGCGGAGACGTGTGAAGGACATCTGGAGACGTCTGGAGGACATATGGACACGTGTGGAGATCATGTTTAGATATTCGGAGACATGTGGAGGACATGTGGAGACGTGTGGAGGACATGTGGAGACGTGGAGGACATGTGGAGACGTGTGGAGGCGTATCGAAGACATGTCGTGACGTGACGAGAACATGTGGAGACGAGTGGATGACATGTGGAGACTTGTGGAGACGTGTGGAGGACATGTTTAGATATTCGGAGACATGTGGAGACATGTGGAGACATGTGGACATGTGTGGAGGACATGTGGAGGCGTGTCGAGACATATGGAGACGTGTGGGCACATGTGGAGACGAATGGAAGTCATGTGGAGACGTGTTGCGACGTGTGGAAGACACGTGGGGACGTGTGGAGATGTGTGGATGATCTGTGGAGACGTGTGGAGTATATGTGGAGACGTGTGGAGGACATGCGGAGGACATGTGGAGACGTATGGAGGACCTGTTGAAACGTGTGGAGACGTGTAGAAGACACGTGGAGACAAGTTGACATGTGTGGAGGACATGTGGAGGCGTGTCGAGACATATGGAGACGTGTGAGCACATGTGGAGACGAATGGAAGTCATGTGGAGACGTGTTGCGACATGTGGAAGACACGTGGGGACGTTTGGAGATGTGTGGATGATCTGTGGAGACATGTGGAGGACATACGGAGTCGTTTGAAGACATGTGGAGACGTGTGGATGATATTTGGTGACGTGTTGAAGACATGTGGAGACCCGTGGAGGACATGTTTAGATAGTCGGAGACATGTGGAAACGTCTGGAGACATGTGGAGGACATGTGGAGACGTGTGGAGGACATGTTGTGACGTGCGGAGACGTGTGGTGGACCTGTTGAGACGTGTGGAGAAGTGTAGAAGACACGTGGAGACATGTGGACATGTCCGGAGGACATGTGGAGGCGTGTCGAGACAAGTGGAGACGTGTGGGCAGATGTGGAGACGAATGGAAGTCATGCGGAGACGTGTTGAGGACACGTGGGGAGGTGTGGAGGACATATGGACACGTGTGGAGGACATGTTTAGATATTCGGAGACATGTGGAGGACAGTGTACACGCGTGGAGACATGCGGATGATACGTGGAGACGTGTTGAAGACATGTGGAGACCTGTGGAGGACATGCGGAGACGTGTGAAGGACATCTGGAGACGTCTGGAGGACATATGGACACGTGTGGAGATCATGTTTAGATATTCGGAGACATGTGGAGGACATGTGGAGACGTGTGGAGGACATGTGGAGACGTGGAGGACATGTGGAGACGTGTGGAGGCGTATCGAAGACATGTCGTGACGTGACGAGAACATGTGGAGACGAGTGGATGACATGTGGAGACTTGTGGAGACGTGTGGAGGACATGTTTAGATATTCGGAGACATGTGGAGACATGTGGAGACATGTGGACATGTGTGGAGGACATGTGGAGGCGTGTCGAGACATATGGAGACGTGTGGGCACATGTGGAGACGAATGGAAGTCATGTGGAGACGTGTTGAGACGTGTGGAAGACACGTGGAGAAGTGTGGAGATGTGTGGATGATCTGTGGAGACTCGTGGAGTATATGTGGAGACGTGTGGAGGACACGCGGAGGACATGTGGAGACGTGTGGAGGACATGTGGAGTCGTTTGAAGATATGTGGAGACCTGTGGATGATATGTGGTGACGTGTTGAGGACATGTGGAGACCCGTGGAGGACATGTGGAGACGAATGGAAGTCATGTGGAGACGAATGGAAGTCATGTGGAGACGAATGGAAGTCATGTGGAGACGAATGGAAGTCATGTGGAGACGTGGAGGATATGTGGAGGACCTGTTGAGACGTGTGGGAGACACGTAGAGACGTGATGAGATGTGTGGATGATCTGTTGAGACGTGTGGAGTATATCTGGAGACGTGAGGAGGACATGCGAAGGACATGTGGAGACGTGTGGATGACATGTGGAGACGTGTGGAGAACATGTGGAGACGTGTGGAAGACATGTGGAGACGTGTGGATGACATGTGGAGACGTGTGGAGACGTGTGGATGATATATGGAGACGTGTTGAGGACATGTGGAAACGTGTGGAGGACATGTGGAGACGTGTGGAAGCTATGAGGAGACGAGTGGGTGACACGTGGAGACGTGTGGAGTCGTGTGGAGGACATGCGGAGACGTGTGGTGGACATGTGTGGATGATATATGGAGACGTGTTGGGGACATATATGGAGACGTGTGGGCACATGTGGAGACGAATGGAAGTCATGTGGAGACGTGTTGAGGACATGTAGAGATGTGGAGGATATGTGGAGACATGTGGGGGACATGTGGAGACGTGTGGAGGACACTTGGAGACGTGTGGAGGACATGTGATGACGTGAGGATGACATGCGGAGATGTGTGGTGGACACGTGGGGACGTGTGGAGATGTGTGGATGATCTGTGGAGACGTGTGGAGGATATGTGGAGACGTGTGGAGGACATGCGGAGGACATGTGGAGACGGGTGTCGAGACATATGGAGACGAGTGGGCACATGTGGAGACGAATGGAAGTCATGTGAAGACGTGTTGAGTACATGTAGAGACGTGGAGGATATGTGAAGGATATGTGGAGGATATGTGACGACATGTGGAGACATGTGGAGATGCGTGGAAGACATGTGGAGTCGTGTGGAGGCGTGTCGAGACATGTGGAGACGTGTGGGCACATGTGGAGACGAATGGAAGTCATGTGGAGACGTGTCGAGGACATGTAGCGACGTGGATGATATGTGGAGGACCTGTTGAGACGTGTGGGAGACACGTAGAGACGTGATGAGATGTGTGGAGTATATGTGGAGACGTGTGGATGACATGTGGAGACGTGTGGAGAACATGTGGAGACGTGTGGAAGACATGTGGAGACGTGTGGAGACGTGTGGATGATATATGGAGACGTGTTGAGGACATGTGGAGACCTGTGGAGGCGTGTTGAAGACATGTGGCGACGTGTGGAAGACATGTTGAGACAAGTGGGTGACATGTGGAGACGTGTGGAGACGTGTGGAGGACATGTTCAGACATGCGGAGGACATGTGGAGACGTGTGGAGGACATGACGTGACGTGAGGATGACATGTGGAGATGTGGATGACATGTGGAGACGTGTGGAGGCGTGCTGAAGACATGTGGTGGCCCGACGAGGACATGTAGAGACGTTTGGAGACGTGTGGATGACATGTGGAGACGTGTGGAGACGTTTGGAGGACATGTGGAGACGTGTGGAGACGTGTGGAGACGTGTGGAGGCATGTGGAGACATGTGGAGACATGTGGAGACGTGTGGCACATGTGGAGACGAATGGAAGTCATGTGGAGAGGTGTGGAGTATATGTGTAGACGTGAGAGGACATGCGGAGGACATTTGGAGACGTGTGGGGGACACGTGGAGGCGTGTGGATGACATGTGGTGCCGTGAAGAGGACATGCGGAGACGCGTGGTGGACCTGTTGAGACGTGTGGAAACGTGTGGAAGACATGGTTAAGCATGTGGAGACGTTTGGGGACATATGGAGGACATGTTGATACGTTTGGAGGACATGTGGAGACGTGTTGAGGATATGCGGAGACGTGTTGAGGACATTGGAGGCGTGTGGAAGACATGTGGAGACGTGTGGAGACGTGTGGAGACGTGTGGATGATATGTTGAGACGTGTTGATGACATGTGGAGACCTGTTGAGGCGTGTTGAAGACTTTTGGTGACGTGACGAGGACATGTGGAGACGTGTGGAAGCTATGTTGAGACGAGTGGATGACATGTGGAGGACATGTGGAGACGTGTGGAGGACATGTGGTGACGTGAGGAGGACATGTGGAGACGTGTGGAGGAAATGTGGTGACGTGAGGAGGACATGTGGAGACTCGTGGAGACGGGTTGAGACGTTTGAAGACATGTGTAGACGTATGGAGACGTGTGGAGGACATGTGGAGACGTGGACGACATGTGGAGAAGTGTGGAGGCATGTTAAAGACATGTGGTGACTCCACGAGGTCATGTGGAGACGTGTGGAAGCTATGTGGCGACGAGTTGGTGACATGTTGAGACGTGTGGAGGCGTGTGAAGGACATGTTTAGACATGTGGAGACATGTGGAGACTTGTGGAGGACAATGAGACGTGTTGAGAGATGTGGACGATATGTGAAGACGTGTTTATGACATATGGAGACGTGTGGAGACATGTGGAGAACGTGTGGAGGACATGTGGAGACATGTGGAGACACGTGGAGGCTCCTCTTGTTATTTCTTCTGAACATGTTAACATTCAAATAATTGTGTATTTGTAATTGAAATATAGTTCACATTTTGATAATGTCATCGTATCCAAATTGCTTGGATCGATAATCATGTCAATCACTGGATTGTCTGATCGAAACTTGATTATTTACGAATCACCGTTACTATGAGTTACTATTTCAACCACATGTCAGTTTCAGTGGTAGAAAGGGTAGGTAAGAAATAGGTGTCCGTAAGAAATTACGATTTGAATGCATGCTATTCAATGACTTTATTGTACAGGCATAATCAGGGCGCTTCTTCCTACTTTCTTGAGGGATTTGACGGCAACGTTGTATCCTCCCATTGCCAAGGGTTGGCCCTTACATTTAGCTGTGAACTGTTGATGGAAAGACAATATTGAATCAAATGAAATCTGTGAAGGATTTTATTAAAGATATTAACAGAAAAGGAAAATAATAAAACACATATGATAAAGAAAATATACGTCACATAAAACCTTTATCAATCATCTAACAATCTAATCTAAATTAGAATAAAAGTTAAAGCTATATGAAAGTAGATGATACTGACCATATACGACCCCGAGAGCTATGCCGTCGAGACTTGGATTACTAGGAGAAATGGCGTAAGTACCACATCCCCCCCAAAGTGTAGTTCCGTGTCGAAGAAGTAGTCGTCGTTGAGATGGTCAGGTGTACTTAACATCTTGGCACCCGAATTCCAGTGAGCTGTCAAAGGATAAGCGTTCGCCCATCCTGTCCTTGTAGGCGAACGCTGATTGGGATTCGTATAGAAGGTGAAATAGGCATTGGGGTTTCCGTCACAATTACTGAATGCCTTGTCTACTCCATTTGCGTTGTATCCGTGTACGAAAGTTCTAGACAGGAGGACTTCTCGGTTGTCAATGTGGCTACAGCGGATTTGGAGAAGTAGGTGATGATGTCACTGCTGCGGAAGCGGCACCAAACTCGGATGGTACTGCCATTGTTAGTCCAGAAAGTATACTCGCCGCTAGCAGAGTCCGGTGCAACACTGTAGATGTCATGACATGCTGGAAAAATAATTGTGTACTGACATCTTTTGAAACATCGGTAGTATTGAGCATGGAACATGTATGAACACAAATATACTCTTTGACAATTCCGACTTTCTCATAAGTAATTGTTTATGAACAAGTATCAATTAGTAATGATACTAGGTGTGCGCAAAACGGTGAGCATAACCCAACGGTGGCACCAGTCACAAACACATGCAAAGGCAACTGTTCACCTGTAGAAATACGGGAACATATACTACAGGTCAAAATAGGTGATCGTTTTGTCACTGATACGTAAAATGTGGAAATGCCCTCCACATTTCTTCCATAAAACGTTTTGAAAGCCTTACTAAGGCCTTAGTGTAACCCTGATCTAACAACTTTTAGGCATGAGTCGTATGATGTGCTTTGAAACCTTCGTAGCTCACAATTTATGAAATGTAAACACAAAACACTGGAGCTGCTGAAATATTGCTCGAATTAAAACAGGAACAGTTGATTATTGGAAAGTTTATGTGACCCATCTTGTCATGTGGATAGCTTTTTGTCCCTCTGAATCTTCTTTCACAGATACATTAAAACATACATCAATCTAAAATTGTTTTTTTAACGATTTATTCGTTTAATACATTTAATCTTCATATGCTAGGAACATTTACAAAACGTTTCAGATCTGTCAAACAAGCTTTATCTGAGAGTTTGTTGAGATTGTTGTATGAATAATCTGTATTAGAGAGTACATCCGTCTAGATTCTGTATGAATAATCAATTTCAGATTTGTTGAAGGCTTTAGGATCAGCAATCATTTGAATCATTGTTCCTGATGGCAAACATAGCTTACGTTATTGCAAATATTCATAAAGATATTGTTTTGTTTACCCTATCCATTTTAACTCAAAAGCAGGTGCAATCGGATCAAAGGCAAATTTGTTTGCAAATGAGTTCAGTTTGTTGGAGAATTCAGAATGGTGAACGAATAAAATACTTACTGCGAATGTCATGTTGACAGATGTCTCCCATATAGCCTGGTTTGCAAGCACAGGTCTGATTGATGCATTTACTTAGGATAGATGAAATGTATTGATGGGTCTTGAGCTGACAGCTTCGGGGAATACACAGTACTTGCAGCATATTATGATATCAGGTATCCAGTGTAATATACAGATCTATTACAAATGTCATGAATCATTGTCTTAGAAACAATCATTTAGGGCAAAGAGAGTTGATTCCCTCACACGTTTGATTAATGTTATCAGTAAACACAAATTACCCTTATGAGCTTTCCTTTATGATCTTCAGTTTCAGCTTCATGGCAAGTTTGAAAACGAGGTGAAAGGCTTTTAAGGGACTTACAATTGTTGTCAAGAAGAGGTTTTAGGTAACATAGACTCACAACAAGATGCGTGGAGGAACGGACGAATAGACAGACTTATTAATGACTTACTTCCTTACATTATACGGAACATAAAATGGAATATAAAAGCAACACCCATACAGTAAAGCAATATGTAACGATATCAAGTGAATAAAACTGAGGATGGGATAAAACATCAAAAACACATATTCAAATAGAACAATGATGAGAAGGTTGGTGCTGTTAATTTTACGACCTAAAATTTTAATTGGACTCAAGGTTTCACACAAAACTCTCTCTCTCTCTCTCTCTCTCTCTCTCTCTCTCTCTCTCTCTCTCTCTCTCTCTCTCTCTCTCTCTCTCTCTCTCTACCGCCAGGTATGTCTGTAACAAGCCATGCGCCTGGTGACTCATTCGGCTACAGACAAAACTCCCTGCAACGTGGTTATGCATTGCTCCTTGATGTAACACACCAACGGTTTGTTCTCTCTGTTGGAGCCTTAATCTTCGCATGTTATTTGTCACTGTCCAATGCCTTGGGTGTGAATGAACAGTACATCGTTCGTTTTATACCTATATGTTTGTAGACTAGCCTGCTGCAAGTGCAGCAAAAGTTTCACTTCAAACTGAAGTTTCACAGATCTGGCTACTGTAGCAGAAGCATTACTCAGCAAATTGTATCGGTTGTGTTAGGGCGATTGATTCTCGAACATTTTGTAACACTATTCGGGGTTTGGGCCCCGTCTTCAGTTTGGTAACGTTTCTTTTGGTCGTCAGTTTCTATCAAAAGTTATGCTTTTTATGTCCAGCAGCCACAATCTTAGTAATGGAAATGTACAAACATATCAAGTTTTGTGTCAACTTTAAGAAAACTGCACAGTGGGCTTTTGCTACACATGGGGTTTTAAAATACTGGTCTTTTATAATACTTAAATGCTTTATAACATTGCTTTTTTGATTGTTCTGTTTCAAAATCATCTACATATGCTGAGTTATTATGTAATAGTGAACAGTGAGAAAATGTTAACATCCTTTCCATAGGTTGAATTCGAAATTTGATGCAACAAAATATGACAGCCCTCTTTTATGAAGTAAAAAGAACCTGCCCTTAAAAATGAAGAAAAAACAACATGACTCTTGCCCTACCTCCGTCCCCTACCTAAATATAAAAGAGTCCGTCCCTAATAGGAATAAGTGCTTTGATGTAACAATTGATCAGAAGATGAAACTCCTGATAGCATTCAACATCTGAAATGCAGTAAACCGCCTGGATCTGATAATACTTTAACATTCTGCAGATTCATTGTTACCATATCTGTACTTAATGTTGAACATTGTGGTAGGACATGGATATTGTCCCACAGTTGGTGGGGTGAGGTGAAATGGGGTTTGACGTCGCGTCCAAGATTATTGCACTTATATAGCGACGTGCTGCTTGTACTAGTCCGGACTGAAGCCGATTTATAGTGCTGAGATACCATGCATGAAATTTCATTCGGTTGAACAGAGTGAATTAGACTGAAATTGATTTCTTTTGAAGGTAAAGCCAGATATAAAGGGAGGTTATTCACGGTAGAGGGCGCAACCGTGTGGAGTATATATAGGAATTGTAAAGCCCGGGTAGTTTAATCTCTCCTGTGGTGTCGCCGTTACAGTGCGGTCTGTTTATTTTATGTTTGTTCTGTGCGTTATGAACATGTTCTGTTGTCAGGTGTTGGCAGTCTTGCTGCAAGACAAATGTCGTCACAGTGACAAGGATGGTTCTGAACCACAAAGCATGGATGGTACCTGGTACATGCATGTATCTTACAGTAAGATGTTACAGTGTCGGTGACTGGCGTGGTTCTGAGATCATATGGATCAAGGCCAAGGACGCTACTGGTGTTTGTAAAAGGAAATTTCATTGCAGAGTAAATGCTTCGGCGTGTGCCATAGGGGAAGCCACATTGTGTGTTTGTTGTTTATATCTGGCTTGGCGAGGTTTTGGAAGAGAACGCAGTTTAACACGAGTACCCCATTCAGACACAGTATACTGACTCCGAGCCGACCAGTCCTTGTTTTAGCCCCTCAATGTCGAGCGCCAGGCAAGTACCATGTTTTAACGTCTTTTGGTATGACGCGACCACGGAGGCGGTCCCGACAGTTGGCCTTGGTCAGTTGGTACATGCAATCATGGTATCTGATACACAAAAAAGGATAGATAACACTGACAATAACAGGGGCACTACATTATCAAGTATATTTGCAAATTATTCATGTTTATTATCAACAAAAGACGACTGTTATGGTCAGGCAGAATGCAGATAACATAAGTGAGTTGAATACAGGTGTTATGGAAGGATACACAACGGTCGATAATATCTTCATGCTGCAATATCTCATTCAACTATATTTAGGTACCAAATGTGGGATACGTGACGCTTGTTTGTCGATTTTGCAAAAACAAATATTTGATGCAGTCCAGATAAAATACGATACGGAATCATTAATTCGAAAAGTTGTTATTTGTAAAATGATTAAGCATCTGATTCACAGATATGCAAATATAATGGCTTTTGTTCGAAACTAGGGTGAATTATCTAAAACATTTAACATTGATCTTGGTGTTACACAATGTTGTATATTAGGTGAAAGCGACAAAACCCTTTCCATATTCATAAGAAATCTCTGCCCTGAGCAGAATCCATTGTACAATTTCGACTGTATCATGATCATGACTATGTTTATGAATCACTACCAAATAGTGATGATACAAGGTGTTCGTATAAAGGTGAGCGTATCCTGCCAAACCGGTGGCATCCGTCACAAACACAAGCAAAAGCAAGTCAATTGTCCACCTAAAACAAACTCGGGAACACATGGTCCAAGTCAATCTATCAATCTTAATTCATGGCACTTATGAGGCCAATGGCCTATAGTACATTGTCTGGGGCGTGTTACAAATTCATAAATTTTCTTAGTTTCATAGCATGATAAATGAACATTG